ATATAATGACACAGAATAAAAGGCCGAAATGCAATACCCATGATTATTAGCTTCTTGCTCATTTGAGAGCTACAAACTCTGCTTCTCAGATCACCTCTTGGCTGCATGAGCCCAGCCCGATCTGTGGGCTGTTGGCGTGGCTCTTCAGGATGCTTCCCGCCCTCTGTAGTGGCTTCATCAAGTTGTTCTGTGCAGAAAACAACAAATTTTCTAGCTCCAGCTAGATTTTAAGAAAGGTTACTCCTTTGCAAACTTTCCATTCATCAAACAACTTCAAACCTTTCCAGAAATGACGAAGAGCAGAGCAGCAGCAGGCTGTATTACTTTCCACTGACTTCACTGGTTTTAGTTCAGGCAAACTGAGAGGTACTGATATTTAAAATGACCTATGAAGCCGACCTTAACACTGAGAGCCAAAAATATAAAAGATTTTTAGAAAAGGAGAATAATATTGGTAGGTGGGTTTTGAAAAAATACAATTTTTCTTTTTTAAACTATCATTGCATGATTTTTTTTGGAAAAAGGAATGCCAGTGAAGTCACTGATATCTAAACTGAAAACATAGAGTTAATGTTGAAAGCAAGAACCAGTAATTAAAGTATACAATAAATAAAAATATCAGATAATTACAAAAAAACTAGTTTTTTGAAACCCAGAATGTTCAGATTTCAGGTTACATACAGCAGAAATAATGTTAATAATAATAATAATAATAAAATTAAGATAGCAATATGCCTTTATGGTACCCTAACGACTGTAATCATACTTCAGAGTGAAGTCACCCAACAATCAGCTAACTAGAATTAAGGCACCCTTTGATGCTTTTAGCTCCTAAATAATTCAAACTGCTTTTTAAAAAGGTGTATTTACTTTTTTTGTTGTAATTTTTTTTCCACCCTGGGAACATCCCTTGAGGCTATTATTCATGGAGTCCTTGAAGTAAAATTGTGAAGAAGCATTTGCTCTGCACAATATGGGAGGCAAAACTCAGCAGCTCATCTCTTTAGGCTCAGTGCAGGAAGCAGACCAGAGCATCTCAGCTGAGGTCCTTGAAGAGTTGAGAGCACGAAAGCTAAGCAAGCTTCTTGCTCCCCACACCAAGATCCTACTTCTTGTGTGCTCAGCACCAGGGATGGCAGGTTTGTGTGGCCACTCATTCTCCTGTGCAACAAACAGGTAGGAAAATGGGCTTGGCAAGTACTGAAGCTATGGACCTACTTATTGGGGCCGAATAAACCAGTTCTCTCAATATTCTAAAGCCTTTAGTGTGGAGGGCACCAAGTGCAGCCTGCTTCTCTAGTGATTTTGCTGTCCCCACCAGTTTGCTGTCCTAGACAAGCGCTACCTTTCAGTTCCTGTCAGTTCCTGACAAACACAGGAACTGCAGCACAAAAGCAACATGTGATCTGCAATTGATAATTAACCTTAGGTGGGTTTTGTGCCTGTGAAAAGCAAGCCGCTCGTTTACATGCCTTCATAAGAGATACTTATGGAAAGTAAAGTAGAAAATGAAAATTAGAAAAGCGAAGAAGGAATTTGACAAGCAAATAAGTAGTGCCATAAGACAAATTACAGGGAATCTTATTACAATATTAAAGATACAAATTATGGATCCATGACCCTCCCAGCAAAATAAAAAACAATTACAAAGAATAAAGACTCTGTATAATATGCAGTCAGAGAAAAGCGTATAGAGGCATAATAAGGATGATAAGAGGTAGAGGATAGGTTTTCTATGGAGACATTAAACAGACTCCTTGCTTTAAAAGAAAGATGGTAGGGAAGGTAAACATGATAAATACGTATAAAATCCTGATTAGAGTGTGACTATGCTCTATTTTTCTTAAAGTAAAAACTAGAGTACAGCAAGCAGAATTATGAGGCAGGAGAATTGAAAACACAGATGTACTTTTTCACATTTACCCCACCGTGAAACTAATTGTCACAGGATTTTCTGGGTGCTAAAAGAATCAGTAACTTTCAGATTGTTTTGTTCCCTGTTTTTTCTAATCTGAAAGAGTTAAAACAGAAGAAAAAATAAACCTTTTATGTTGTTATATATGCTTTCTCTTAGCATCTCAGACTGGCTACTGTCAAGAGGCAAGATGCTGGTTAGATGGACCTTTGATCATACAGTCACAGTTAATCTGAAGTTTCAATCACCCCCATTTAGCCTTTTTTTCCCAGTAGAGAACATTGGATAGAAACACCTTTACTTGAAATGAAAATAAGGCAACACCAGGAGGAATACAGAATAAATAACATAGAATCACAGAATCACAGAATCACAGAATTTCTAGGTTGGAAGAGACCTCAAGATCATCGAGTCCAACCTCTAACCTAACACTAACAGTCCCCACTAAACCATATCCCTAAGCTCTATATCTATAAGCTGATAAATTTTAAATCGGAAGCCAGCAGGATATATCCAAATGCACTTTAAGAATGAAAAACTTCACGAGTTAACATACAATCTTTCTCATCTAAATTGTCTAATTATCTAATAATTTTACCAGCCTGTAGTGCAGCATGTGTATGTATCTACAATATTAACACTAAAAAAGATTTCTAGGATACAATGAGAGTCTTTATGACAAGGTCAGGTGGTAGACACTGTCTAATGACAGACTTATAAAAGACCTACCTGTGGCATGATAGGACAAACAGCTTTGGCTATCTGAAGGAAAACCATGCTCCTTATCATCTGAGAGTGATGATGAAATGGAAAAACACATGCATATACCTTATTTCTGTTTTTTACAGAAAGTTTTTCGAAGTATTTCTTCAGAAGTTATCCAGGAAAGGCTATAAGAATGATCCAGAGCATGAAAGCATCTTGTCAGAAGACAAATTGAAAAGATTGATTGTGTTTAACTTAGAAAAGAACACAGAAGACTAAAAAGTACCATAGGAAAGATAGGGCAGGAGTTTGAATTTAATTCAAAGAAATTAAATGATGGTAGTTTCTTAAATAATTCTCTTTCTTACTTTTCCCTTACTTCACATGTACTCACTAATTAGACTGTGGATAAAAAAGATTTCTGAAGCCAAAATTTAAAAAGGAATTAAACATTTTTATGGATTATATGAAGATACTGAGTTCTAATTAATCTGAATACTTTGCAATATTAAATGTTCAACTTTGAGCCATAAATCTGTCTCTGAATATTTTGAGATCAGGATGAAACCGAACTTCTAAAGCAAGTGCAGAATATCTTTAGTTGACAACCGCAGGGCTTCTTACACCTTTCCATGACACTGTTGGAACTGACTGCTTCTGAAAGAACAAGGAACGGAGTGCAGGAGAATAGATGAGAGAGGAGGCTGGCCAGTTTGTGCTTGTAGGGAACTTGGCACAGACATCTATGGCAGCAGTGTCCTGGAATGAAAGGAGAGAAGCTAAAAATAGATAGATAAATAAATAAATACGTAAGTAAATAAATAAGTAAGTAAATAAAAAAGAAAGGAAATGACAAGGCAAGAAGATTGCTACTTCTAGGACGTTGGATTCAATGGTGTTTCAGATGTGAGTGAAAAAAAAGTGCCTTAGACTTACAAAAGCACCTGAAAAGTTGGAGTCTTCTACTTTAAAAGGAGAAAATAAGGAAATGAAAGAGATATGTAACATAATATTAATATATTTTGGAAAGAGGACGCATCAATTTTATCTATTTAGCATCTTTATAAATGGAAGAGTCATTCAAACAAACTGAAAGATAGTAGACTGATGAAAGTATTTTTGATACAGACCCACCTTGCTACCCAGCTCCACTAATGACAAAAAATTTGCTTCCAAAAAGGTATCGATCTGTATCAGAAAGAAAAAAAAATGTTAGGGGCAACAATACTAGTTATAGATCAAGAGTTTTTATTTCTGTATTTTAAGGATTTTTTGCATCTTTTCCTTTAACATCTAACAATACCAGGTCTATGATACCAATGTAGGTAGATAACTGAGCTAATGCAGTATGACAGAAATGTTCCAACAATGTTGTTTGTGATTGACTGGTTATTTCATGACTGCACAGCACTTTAAAAGAGTTATAATCATACACTATTATGAATGTTCATAATTTAAATTAATTTTCCAGAAGATTTGGCTCTTCCCAATGGGTGGCAATACTGACATAACTATGACATCAAATAACACAGTTTGCTATTGTCATATTGAGCTAGAGTAGTCACCTAACTGGGCATCAGTATTCAACTTAAAACCGATTATGTCTTGTTGAGAAAAAACAATTACTTTCTTTAGTAATAATTCTTATGATTCAGAAACTTGGTGACAGCTTTCTTCCAAAAACAAACAAACTTTCTCCCAAAATAAGGAGAATTCAGTGGTTGCACTTGTAGATGTAAAAACCTAATATAAGTGCACTCAGTTTATTGTGGCACTGGAAACAGAACTAAGCTGCATATTTTTCTCTTGTCTTTGCATTTATAACATTGTAAAAACAATATATGCATCCTCAGGACTTGATTCTGTGACATTTATACCAAGTCCAACTGAGCTGGCGTAAAGCCTGCACCATCATACTGACGAGAATACACTCCCCAAGTCAGGTCAGTGAATAAAAGCTCCTCACATGAGCAAGGCTATAAGAATAGACTGCGGGAGGTCAAGGTCAGTGGTGAGTTTTGGCTGAGTCAGGGCTGGAGGATAAGGCCCTTATAGATCCTATAAATAGTTCATTGTTGAAAGGAGTCAGATTGAATTCTGAACGTATTTTGGAAAACAAAACAAAACAAAACAAAACTACTGGGTGACTAACGAAGTACACCTCCCTAACTCTCTCTGTTTATTAATGTGACGTTTGTTTGGAACTAATGTGTACAATAAATAAAAGATATTTTTAGGACGTACCAGGAAAATGTATTCAGATTTTGAGAGAACAATTTGAATGTATTTAGAGTACTTGTACTTTATCAAAGGAAAGGCTGTTGCAACATACAAATAAGGTATTAAAAACTAGTGGTTTCTGTGGATTCCAGCGGAAACAGGAAATCAGGCAAATGACTCTAAGAATGGGATTTTCACACCTGACTTATATCAGCTCAGAGCTGATATAAGACTCCTCTTACTGTAAGTGAAGAGAAGCAGGTGCCTCTGCAGATAACCCCACAATCAGGCAGGCAAAAGCTGAAGCAGGCCTGACTGTGCCCCAACACTGGGAAGAGCAGGGTCCCCCAGGGCCTTTGCCCACCGTGTGTGGTTTGTTGCCACCTCTGTACAGTATCCTCATTTTTGTGGGTGTAAAGGTTCAGTAAACTTGGTGGGTAGGTGATTTTACTGAAACCAGTCCCTCCTAACACCTGCTTTCTCTCCTCAGGGTTGTTTTTCAGTGGGATCACCTCTCTGGTCTGGAAACTATGCCTGTGGCGGATGGGCAATGGAGAAGAGCAGTGCTGCGGAAAAATGACTGTTTTGTTCAACCGGAGAGCTAGAGGAAAATGTTTGTCAGAATAGAGCAAAGGCTCTGAATGAGCTGTGCAGGTCTAACACCTCACAAGCTGCCAGTACAGGGAAGTCTTCAGTTCTGTTTCCTTTCCTGTTGCCAGCACCATGTTACCGCTACTTCCTTTTGCAATGGCTCTAGCACTTGTAAAAACCTTCTGTGACCTGAGACGTCTTAATCACCTGACAGAAAATAAAAAGTCAATAGATTTTATGTGGGCTCATGAGTAGAGCTGGATCACAGGTGTCAGATGTGCAGCAGAGCTGGCAAACATGGAGATGGGATGACCTGGGGATGAGGAGAGGAGAAAAAAAATCGAACTAGGGAAGGTCTGACATCATCCTCTCAATGGTCAGGAGTTGTTAGATCAGCTGCTCATCAAACCACACCCTCAGGGCCCCTTCTTATAGCATGCTATATGAGATCTAATTGCAGGCAGACACTGGAAGGGACAGTCCCACTTTCCTCCAGGCCTCCAGCTGCACATTGCTGGTAGGCATGACTGCAGATGGGAGGGGAGGCGAGGCCCAGCAACCACAATTGGGTTGGATTTGCAAAACGAGCCTTAAAATAAGTGCCAAACCTAGGCTGTATCATGGAATCATTAAAGTTGGAAAAGACCTCCAAGATCATCTGGTCCAACCATCACCCTACCACCAATGTCACCCACTAAACTATGTCCCTAAGCACCATGTCCAATCTTTCCATTGCCCTCTGGGGTTCTTATATTTTTTCATTAACTAGCAGGAGCCTAGACAAAGAAGTTATACTAGAACCCTGTTTTTAAGACTGTTGAAGCTCAATAAGATGAAATTCAACTGATGCATTCATCCTGTGTTGTCTCTGGCTGTAGTCTCCACTATACCATGCTGTAGCCTTTCATTTTGAAAGAATACAATTGTGTTAAATATATCTTTTATTTTTTTAAATAAACACAACACTGAAAATGAAAGCACATCTAAAAATGAATTGGAATTGATCTGCTGATAAACACATTATTATATCTGTTCCTTTTAAACAGTAGTGCATCTGTTGCAGAGTATTGACAGCGTCCATTTACAATGCAAAATGAAGTCAAAACTGAAAGATCATAAAGGAAAAAGGAGCAGGTTTCAAAACACTACTGACTAGTCCTAATGAGGCTGTAGCTGGAAGAATAAACACAGAGCAAAGAGTTCCTTCAACAGCTGTTGAGACCGTGTGTGTTCGCAGAGCTTTCATCAGAGCTAGTAGGGGTTATTCTGTGAAAAGAACAAAGGAGCCTTAGAGCCTGGGCCATGAAGACAGAACTGGCGGAAACAAAAAGGCCACTTGGGATACGGCCACAGATTGCGTTTGGCCCTGGTCTGTTTCCCTCCTTCACTTTGAGGAATACCTTAATTGTTTTTGAAGTCTCCTCAACTTGAAAGGTGTTACTGGCTTGAGAGTGCTATTGACTTCAATGAAACTATTTAAAGAATAAGGTACAGTTCAGTATGAGCATGAACAGCAAGACAGATCTTTTTTTCATTAGTAGTTAAAAGACTATATCCTATGATTAATTATTAAACAAAGCATAGAAAAGACATGTCCATGAAGCATTGGGTCTGTACTGGATGCTGATTGACTTCAGAGAAACTACTCTGATTTATGTTGATATTCTTTGATTAAAGATACTGAATAAGATGTGATTCTCACACTGAAATAAAGATATTTTACTATACCACCATTGAATTATGGCCTTTATTTTTACTGTAAAAGTTCTGATTTCTAATTGCATCTTATTTGTGTTTAATAAGCATATTGACCACCTCCATCAGGAAAGCAACTTATTTATATTTTCTGTGTTCAACTGGTTGAAAACATTCTTCAAGGAAACAACTGTCTAGACAAGATCACAATAAATCCTCTGTTGCTAGAGTGGTGGGAAAAGAGGTTGTCCTTGGTAAGCAATGCTTTCAAAAGCAGTTATGAGCTGTTTGCCAGGCTGTCACGAGTTTAAATAATTATTTGATATATACGTTCTGGTGGTTCCCACTAAGATAAGAAGTCTTAAGCATAATTTTCTGATGCGGAACACATTGATGATTTATGGCTCTTTATATAGCTTTTTCCTTCTCTTCTCACCATGATAGGCATGAACGAATCTTTATTCTGTCAAGAACCGAAAAGTATGCTGCATGGGTTAATGCCAAGTTGGCAGTCAATGCCACAGTAGCCTCATGCTTGCTTAAAGTTATGATTTTGTAATTCCTGCCACATTAACTTTTTGTAAAATAAAGATAGGTACGTATGCAATTAGCACAACAACTTTTGTCAGTGGCAGAATATCCCGATGTTGGTTACAATATGATCAGTAGGGCCACTGTCCCTTGCTGGGGGTATGCTTATTAATTCTGACTCTGTTCAAGATCCACTTCAGCTAAAAATTCCATGGAGATCCTCCTGTTAATAAGATAGGAACAGATTCCTAATTTAAAATAAAAAGGTAGAAAAATTTAATGAGTCATTTTTTTTCTAAGAGCTTTATTTTCACATCCCTATACCGCAAGTTGCTGCATCAGGATTGGTTCCTGTGCCTACACACAGCTTTAGTCTCAAACCTAAACTATGATCATCAGAAAGGGAAACAAAATATAAATAGAAAGTGAAATTCATGATTTGCTTTCATGATGTAAGCAAAAAGGAAGCAAAAATCAGAAATGGCTTATAACATTAATTTCACTCGGCACAGATGAGTATGGTATTTTTTTTTTTTTTTTACAAACCAAGATCTTTCTCCATCTAGCAAAGCTGACAGATATTATCAAGACTACGTCAGGACCTCTGTCTTAATTCAAAACCTGCTAAAGGTTTTTTTTTTGTTTTTGTTTTGTTTTGTTTTGTTTTTAAGATGTTTAAGAATTTTCATCAAGCTTTCAATTTTCTATATGTAGATCGAGGTGGTATTTTAAACTGCACTATTACATGAAGTATGCTGAATGAGTCAGTTTTGTGGTTTCTGAGGAATGTGTTGTGCTTCTAGGAATTCAGCCTGGATATTTGGTTCTGCAGACACGGCCTATAACATGTAGAGCCAGACTGCCAGTTCAGGGAATCATGAGCTTTATAGAATGAGATCTAAATCTGTGAATTATTTTTTTGCAGTCGTGAAGGAAATGGGTATTTGCATTGAACATTAAAGGTGGAAGTGCGAAAATAAAAACAGCAGGTAACAATGGGAACACAGGAAGAGAAAGAAGAAACACCATCCCAGTTAGAAGTATTTGGCACTATTCAGGTGACAGCTGCTGTAGCAAACACTTAGTGAATATCTTGAGGAGAAAGAGCAGGAGCAGATTAAGTTTCCTTTGTGTCATTGCAAATTCTCACGCAGGACAGTTTGTTTGCTCTGCCGCACCTTAAGTGTCAGACTGTGAAACCCCAAATCTGCTATTATCTGTTGTTTTTTGAAAGATGGAGTGACTTGTACATGTCAATAAAATAGCCACTCTGAGTTTCACTTTAAGATTAATGCTGACACTAGTTTTCAACATTTTATAATCTTTCCTATGATAATTTAAAAAAAACATTACTGTAAAATTAAATTCAGAAATTGCATCACTTTCTGCATTTACTGTAAAGCTCATTTATTTGATTGGAAGTATTTCTGTATTATACAAACACACAGGCAGGCAAAACATTTGTTATTTATTAAATATATTTTCAGGAGCTGAATGCAGATGTAGGTATTCCTAACGTACATCACGACTGTAAATTATAATGACAAAGTTAAGCTCTCAGAAATTAGAAATTGCCAAATACACTGTTCATCCTAGATAGCTGTCTTTGAAATATCATTCATCTTGTAGTATGCAATTCTTGTTCCTTAATATTTCACTTTTATTTGGTTCATAGGGTGGATCATGTTTTAGAACTGAAAGGAGATATAACAAATGAGACTGTTATCTGAACCAAAAGTGGTTTTATTATCTTTTTCTTTCTTTTTTTTTTTTTTTCATATAAGTGTGTGTGGTTTTTTTGAGGAAGAACAAAAAGTGCAGTTAATTACTTAATGGAATCCAAATGAAATTCCCAAGCACTTTCCAAGAGTCATCAGCACTGTTGGGCATTTAAGAGTCACATACCTCTACCACTGGAACCAAAAAAAACGAGCAGAGGTAGTATCTTTTTATAGGGATAAGCCACTGGAGAACAGTAGATTTTAAATAATTTGCTGGACAACAGAGAAGCTCAGGAATCACAGCTTCAGTTCTGGGAAGACTGTCTTCATTTCTACACAGATTATAAACCTTTGTCTTGTCTTTCCAGATTTCCTGTCCCTTCTGTTCTGGCTCTGTGCTCCTTCCTATCAATTCCTTCAGCTCCTGTTGGCAATGTCTCCCCCAGCTCTACTTGGTTGCTTTTCTCATATTTCTGTGTCTCTGAACCCTGACAGTCATGTATCACCTCATCCTTTCCTGTTTCTCAAATCTTTTCATCCGTCAAGCTACCACTTCCTCCTTCTTCTCACTGAAAAGACAGGGAAACTTCTCAGAGCTCTTGCCTTGGTTTCAGGGACAAATATCAGAGAATCTTCCAGGTTCTCAGGAGAGTGCAATAGAGGTGAGGTCCCATTCTATCCCAGGAGTCTGAAAAAGAGTATGTATTAACTTTAGGGAGATAAGACAAATATATTGGTCATACAAAAATAATGAACAGCAGGTCCTTTGCAGTGAAAATACAGTCTCAGAGGAAATTTTGTTCTTAAGTATTTTCTCAACAAGAAAGGTCTTTCCTTTCCTTCAGATTTTTACACACCTGACTATGAAGCCTTTACTTGTACAAACTTTTACAGCAATTTTCCTGAGTAAGGACTGTGGAACAAATGCTATGCACAGGCCAAGAGTGAACAGATCTCCTCCACACCCACTCATCTGTATAGCCACTCACCAGCTTACATCATATGAGAACATTTTCATTTTCTTTTAATTGCGTTGACCAGCTTAAGTCCCATGGCAGAGCCAGCAGTTACTCTGGTTAACTCCTACTGAAAGGCCTTTCACATATTGCACAAGATATTCTTCTTAGAAGAACAGCATCATCATATGATTCTGTCTGTAAACATTAGAGAATAATTCATCCATCAGCTATGTGGGCTGTCTTTCAAGAACTGTGCTAAGTGACACAGCTGATTTTGAAACAAGAGAACTGTGACAGTTTTTTTTTTTTTCTTCTTTCAGTGAAAGACCATCAGACTGGGCAGCTATATTTTATTTTTTTTTTTCTTTTTCCTTTGCATTTGGAGAACAAAATTTGTTATAGGTACACACCTCCACATTTTTTGCTTTATGGTAGGCCAATGTAAAATCTGCCAGGTGGCCTCATCCTGGCCTTAACTGAACTCTGTAGCTCTGGGCACAGGAGATTTTCTCCATGTGAAAATTTCCCTTTTTGCACATAGTTAGAGAATCAGTCATTTCTTTGGCTTGGCTTCCCTCCTTTGCTTGCTTCTCTTTTTGAATCAACTCCAAATCTTTTTGAGTCAACTCCAAATACTCATAATCATGAATTATCCCTACCTCATCTCTTACAAAATGCATCCATTTGGGATCTTATCTCTGTTTTCTGTCTCTGAAATAAAAATTCCAGATTCTTGCACAATCACTTGATCCAATGAGCTCTAAGAAAAATGATGATTATGAAAGTTATGATAAACTTGTAAAAGTAGCCAAGGGAATTTGAGAGAAAGCACTTTTGCTTTGCAGCTGATCGTCAACTTGCCTCTCATCTGGATTTTGCAGTTATACCAGATTCTGATCCGGCCTTTATAAAGCTTAGAAAGGAAGGAAAAAGCTTGGTACTGGATTACCTCTTAGAACTGGTTCAAGCTGTTCTGTACTTGCAGTATGGTAGTTTGGTGTGTGCTATTACAGCCTATCCACTTTTTCTGCCACTTTTAGCCACTGACATCACACAGCACCGGAAGGGAAATGGTAATTACAGGCATGCTATAGATAGCCACGAAGCAGCATCTTATCAGCACTGCGAGTATTTTCAAACGCTTAAAAAAAAAGAACGAAGTCCTGAAGTTCACACTAAGCTTTACCTCCTTTGCTCTTTCACGATTTCAAGGTGGATGAACGGCAGGATCACGCCAGAGAGGCCTGAGAGGACAGCCTGAGGTCCGAGCTGGGCTGCAAATGCTGTTTGTAGAGACTCAGCCTGACTGAGGAACAACTGCAATGTGCAATCTGGGAAAATAGGGACTGTTAATGGGAAACGCCTAACACTTCTGAGCTGAATGTGAGCCTGGTAATGATGACCAGAGCCTTTTAACCAGCGGCCACCAGCTGACTACACTTTGACACTGACTCCACAGGCAATTCCTCACGGCGCTGTGAGTCAGCCGAGCTTATGAACAGCAGAGATACACCACGGAGGAGCACTGCCTCCAGCTCCAACACACAACCCACAGCCCGCGGCTCCCCCTGCACTCACACCCACACGGGAACAAGCTCCACATCCCCGCTCCCCGGCGGGGGCCGGAGCGAGGCGGGCCGGTGGCTGAGCGACACCAGGCGGGCCCAATGCGCTCCGAGCTGCCCCGAGGGGCCGGCCCGTGGCGGCGGCCGCCCCGTCAGGAGCCGGCTGGGGGGAAGCGGGCAGCGGCGAGGCCGGAGCGAGGAAGGGAGGGGGGGGAGAACGGGGCCGCCCGATGGCGGCGTGAGGAGGCGGCGCCGCCATGTTGCTGCACCTGGCGGCCGAGTTCGACCTGCAGAGGGATGTGGGGCCCTGGCTGGCCGAGCGGGGTTGGGCTGCGGCTCTAGGTAACGCCGCGGCGGGGGGCGCCGAGGAGAGCCCCGGCATTTCCCCTTTCCCTCCTTCTTCCCCTCCCCTTCCCCTCAGCGCCGCGGGTAATGGCGGCGGCGTTGGGCTGCCCCCGGCCGGGACAGGGCGAGCCTAACCTCGCTGAGGGGGGCTCCGCCCGCGGGTCCGTGCAGCTGAGGGTGGGGGGGGGGGCGACAGTTTTGCGGGTTTCAGGGCGCTTTTTACACCCCCAAAGCTCTTCTGCACCTCACAGCGAGATTCTTCTTCCTCGACTCTTTTTCGTTTTCTCAAAAAGTATTTTTTTTTTTATTGTTATGCCCGCTTCTCCCACCCTCCTACCCTTTCTGAGGAGAGAACCCCCCGCCACCTCCCCCCCAGCCAAAAATAAATAATGAAAAACAACACTTTTGTCTGCGCGGTGAAGGAGCGCTAATTAAAATTAGGTAGCGTTGGGTGTCACGCCATAGGGCAGTAGCGAAATTAGTGAGCGCTTGGTGTGGTGGTGGTTGGAAAAAAAAAAAAAACAAAAAAAAAAACAAGAATGACCCCACTGTATTCTGGGCCCTGTGGTTTTTCACTTGTGTTTGTTCTCATTCATCTGTAGGCAAGTGAGTTCAGCACTTTTTTTTTTTTTTTTTTTTTTTTTTTTTTTTTTTTTTCTTCTCAAAAACTGATGGAAACTGTAGTCTAAAAGAGAGAGTTGCAACCCCATAACAATTGCTTCAATAGAAATAGATGGTGGTTGATGCGCCATGTCGGGAACTCCAAACCTCAAGTCCTTCGGTTGCATTAGCTAACTTGCCTCACGTGTCAGGGGGCTGTTATCAAATACTTCTTCAGAGCTTCTTTGTTGTAAATCAAAAATTATATATTTTTTTTGGTTTTATAAAAGCAAAGTTAATGGCCAGGCTGTCTCTGACGAAATCCGTTAAAAGTTATTTCACGGATACAAGGCAGTTTACTGACAAACAGTCAGTGCGCTATCCCCTGAAGGGTTTTGAGGTAAAACTCTGAAAATCTTGGAACGTAATCAATTCACCTGTGCATCTGTGTCATAAAGATATCAGAAAGGTGATGAATTGTGTTTGGGGGAGGGACAATGGCTTCAAGCTTTCTCAAATGCAATGCAGACTCATTTGTCAGTAATTGCACCTGATAATACGGAGTATTAGATTGGAAGGCGCATCTGAGCCAGTACTAACTTTTCCGTATTGTGTTTTAGGTTTTCTTTATAAAGACTTTTCCCCTCCCCTAGTGTGATGCTCATTTTTTTAGGAACATGCAGGTGAGAGGTGGGAATTGGTAAAGATTCATTTAACCATCAAAGGAATACCTATTCACAGAAAGCAACTAATTTTAGGAGTCCTGACCCTTCTCTGTGAGTAATTTCAGGTGCTATAGTTATTCATATTTATTATTTTTGCTGTGGACTTGAAAACCCCTTGGTGTAGTGTGTGAGAATTTCTAACGGCCTGGGAGCTGGGAGTAGCTGTGATCAAGGGAGGGGAGTAGTAAGTGAAGAGAACCAGCCTTGTTCTCTATTCCATTTATTTTTGTATGAGCTGCATATAATGGCCTTCAGGAAATCAAACTGCATTCTCCTGAGTATGTTGATATGAGTTGTTTGCTGGGCAGGCAGGTTGGGTTGGTTTTTCTTTTTCTTTTTTTTTTTTTTTTTCAGCCCTTCATCTGCTAGTCTAAGCTGTGGAGATGAGGAAGAAGTGTTAATTCTGCATGCAAAGTTCTACTGCAGGATTTCCCAAGGGCAGGGATGGTTGCCACTTCTTCTTTGGCTGCATATTCCCACCAACAATGTTCAGTGACATCAAATTTGTTTCCAAAACAGAACTTCTTCAACATCTTTCTTGATTTTCCAACATAGAGATCTTAGATTCGTTGGCACAGAGATTTCTTGTGGACCTTCTTCTCTAGCTAAATTTTATTCTGAGAAAGTATTTTGTGAGAGAGGCGTGATTTGCCTAGAGGATGTTGTAATCTTGAAAAGTTTGTGGTGGTTGCTAAATTCTGGGAAGCTTCTGCTAAAAGAAGAGTGGAATGTATGGTTAGCTGAGACTTTCTCAGTTGTCACTGGCTGACCTTAGCATAGTGGTATTGTGTACTTCCAGTGATCTGAAACCAGGAGAAGGTGATGTGTTTTATGCATGTAAGGATTTTTTTAGCCCTTTCACAACAAAATTATTGGCCTCTGATGATATTTCTAAACACCATCTTTTTTGTCACCACTAATTCGTAGTATCAGGCTCGTGAAACTAACTTTCATGCTGCTTACTCCTATCAAGGCACAGTGATAACTGAAGTAAGTAGCATTGAACTTGACTAAATGCGTGCCAGGAGTTGTGGAGAGTTCTTGATCATGCTTACCAAAATACAGGGGACCTGTATCTTAAAACTAGAGCCAATTGTACATCTCTCAAGCTTATTAAGAGCAAAATTCCTTCTTCTAATAAAAGTTTCATCTGGGATCAATACATGTGTAGTGCCTGTGGTGATTAGAAAACAGAACGCAGAATCGGGACAAGATGCGTTTCTGGCACGTGGAGTATAATATTTTCCTTCCTCCCAATCCCCCAATGTTTTCTTGTCCTACCTGCATTGCTTAATTCCCTTGTAGCTGTAAATATATTGCATATGTGTTTTGTTTGATCTTGTGGGTCTTGTTGCTGTAGAGCTAATCTCTGAAGACATGGTTTATTTCCACGTATTCCTTTGGGGGGCTGAGGGGGCGGCTGGGACAAGTGATGCTTTTTCTCATGCTTAGTTTTATCTCCCTGTACTGCTCTGAGTGCAACTTAACTGTTTGAATCATGTGTATAATGGATAAATGCAATTTTAGTTTTCTGGGAGTGTAAACCACTGAGTAATCACATTCTATTTTAATCAGAAAGAATTGTGGCAATTTCGGATCACAATTGTAATGAGGCGTTAGGAATTTAGAAATGTAATTATTTTTTGTGTGCTTTGAAACCGTACCTATTTTGTTTTGAAGTTTATGAGATAAATCACAGTCTAAGAAATATTCTGTCTGTCTTTACAGAAAGTGGTAATTCTGGCATGTACAAATAAGCATTTATATGTAAAAATGTACTTAGCACCTTTGCATAAATTGTGCATATGTATGATATACATGCTCAAGTGAAAATCTTGTGCCTTTTGATACTTATTTCAGATACTTCTGAGAACTCATCAGCACTCCACGTTGTAAATGTTGAAAGAAATGGAAAAATTATTTATACCTGGAAGGTAAATCTCTCTTGGAGCTTAATGAAAATATTCCTGAGAATATCACTGTGTGTGTGCCTACATTTACTTGAGTCTCTGCATCTTAATTTTTTGGGGGGGTTGGAGGGGTTAAAACATGAAAACTTGACTGGTTACTTGGAGGTTTGGGCGATGGGAAAATACCCATCTCCACTTCAGACAAAGGTTAAGAGTGATGAAACAGAGAGTAAAGTACTGACTGACGCGATCAGGTCATAGGGTTTTTGCTGTTGATTTTTTTGGGGCCAGAATCTCACCCTGCATGAAAAAAACATTTCTTTAACAGATAAACTCTTCATAAGCAGCATGTTCTTTCTCCCTGAGAGTTTCTTAGGGAGGTCTGACTCTTAAATTCAAGTGCACTGCTTCAGTTAAAGGTTTAATCCTGCCAGTAACTATATTAAGACACCATATATGTAACACTAACTCTGCTTCTGTTTTTCTTCTTTGTTACTTTAAGATACATCTGTAGCACTTCATTGCAAGTACTAGGAAGTAATCTTAGTTTATTTGATGTTTTGAAGTATGTAGCACTATCCTTTTTAATATAGGGTTCTTCTCTCATGGCATATATATCACTTTTAGATTGAAATTCATGTAGTACCAAGGTTTTTCTAAATGGTTTGGGAAGGCTTTCCCTTGAGGGGACAAGCTGTGGTTCTTCTCTGTGCAGCTCAGAGAAATCTGGAAACCCAGCTGGATTCTGGAGGGTCTTGGTTCTTGGGAAATATAACTGCAGACAGCAGGCTCCAGTAGGATAGGGCTGTCCTGCATTCCCCTCTGGCTCAATAACACTAAAACTCTCCAGCTTTGCTAGGGTTAAGGGAAGAGGTGAGGCCTTCAGCAAGGTATAGTGTGCTTCAGCTGTGGGTGGATGTTTCCTTTGGTACCAGCGAGGGGAGGGGAGACTGTCAGGCAGCAGGAGTCATAAAAACAGTGCTCAACAAAGTGTTATTTCTTTTAATATTACTCAAATCTCTGAAGATTTAATAAAGACAATTTACCTAGCTCCTTAAAGGAGATCTATGTATGGGTGATGTTGCTGCTGTCCAGCACCTGTGGAATATCACACCGAGCTTGGAGTAACTCCTTTCCTTCTTGGACTTTTGACAGCAGAGTCCAGCTGCCTTGTGTGGTGTTCCAGCTCTTGCGGCTGGCAGAAGAGGGTAAGATTTAGCTCAAGGTTGATCCATCTAAATGTAGGTGTCTGCTCACATACTAGGTGTCAAAGATGTTGTTACAGTCAGCGCAGATCTGGTCAAACCAGGGGAATTTAGAGAAATGGCTGCTTGTGGCCTCTGCCTTGGGAGGAGGTGTGTGAGGTGGAGAAGGGGGCCAAATGTTTGCCAGGCTCTAGTGAATGAATTGGCCAATGACTTGAAGGAGGATTCAAACACCTAACCCTGAATCTGGAGGTAAAGCCAACACCAAAAATGTTGGCTGTTGTTTCTCTTTCCTGATTCAGGGAATGAAGTGACCTCTGCAGCCTTTGTGGCAGGAATGGCTGGGTGACAAAGGCTGAGAACTAGG